GGATTGATTTTGGGGGTTATGGTACCAACAGTTAAATAATTAGGGGCCAAAAAGGGGCCGAAAATAAGCATTTTTGTAACTTCCAGACATAACTTGTGTGTTATTGTATGGATCTCTTTGACATTGTACTACAAGATTCCATATCACAAAGGGTCGATGATGGGATTGATTTTGGGGTTAATTTCGTCGAAATTTTAGGAATAAGGGGCCAAAAGGGGGCAAAAAACAAGCATTTTTCTAGTTTCATGACAATAACTTGTGTGTAAGTGTATGGATATTTATGAAATTGTACTACAAGGTTCCATATCACAAAGGGAAAGCTGGAATTGAGTTTTGTGGTAATTGCCCAAAACGTTTAGTAATAAGGGGCCTAAAAAGGGGTGAAAAATAAGCATTTTTTAGTTTCTAGACAATAACTTGTGTTCAAGTGTATGGATCTCTCTAAAATTGTATTACAAGGTACCATACCACAAAGGCAAGGCTGTTATTGAGCTTGGTTTGGGGGGGAAGGGGGTGATGAATCATAAGGGGGTGGGGTCAAAAAAGGGGTAATTATTTTTTTTTCGTTTAAGGAATAAAGGGAAAAAAGGTTAAAAAACTAGGGTTTCCATTTTAATAGACAAATAATTGAGTAAAGAACATTATTTAAAAGCAGTGTAAGGTTGGTAATTCAAACTCATTTAAATATATCTCACCTGCACTATGTTTGAATTATGTAAATTGGAAATTTGCCAATTATTTTAGTATAATAAACTTCATTGGAAATTTGCCAATATAAAATTTTGCTGATGAAGGTTTTTTGTTTACCTTTAGTCTGACTATGATGTCATTTTCTATTTTAATAGCCTTATGATGTAGTTAAATTTTTTTTAATACTTTTAGGATGTATTTTAATGCGCTTTTATGGTTGCAAATTTATTGTTTTAATATAATAAACTCCATTGGAAATTTACCAATAGTTTGTTTATTTTTAGCTATGACTATGATGTCATTTTCTATTTAATTTTAAGGTTACAAATTAATTTCAGTTTTAAATATTATTGTAAAATGTTTGCCCAAAACATTTATTAATAAGTGGCCAAAAAAGGGGGCAAAAATAAGCATTTTTTTAGTTTCCAGACATTAACTTGTGTTCAAGTGTATAGATTTCTCTGAAATTGTACTTAAAGGTACCATACCACAAAGGGAAGTGGGTCAAAAAATTTTGAGGGGGGGGATTTTTTTTCCTTTTTTTTTCTTTAAAATTTTCCATTTTAAGTTGGTTAATTCTGATCACAAAGAGAAAGTTGGAATTGAGTTTGGGGGGTAATTGCTCAAATGTTTAGGAATAAGGGGCTAAAAAAGGGGTTAAAAATAAGCATTTTTTTTTAGTTTCCAACAATTAATTGTGTTTAAGTAATTGGATCTCTGTGAAATTGTACTGCAAGGTACCATACCACAAACTGAAGGCTGGGATTGAGTTTGGGGGGGCGTGATGTGTGAAAATTTTCCACTTAAAGTTGGTTAATTATTTCTGATTTAGATATAAAAGCAAATAATAATGATGTGGTTTGATTTTATCAAAAACTTAAATTGAAGTTATGTATATTGTAAATTTAGGTTACATTGGAATTTAAGAATTGGCTTTGGGGTAGGGTTATGGCTCAAACCTTTAAATAATAAGGGAAAAAAAGGTGAAAAAACAAGGGTTTCCAGGTTAATAGACAAATAAGTACAAAACATTATTTAAAAGCAGTGTAAGGTTGGTAATTCAAACTCATTTAAATATCTCACTTACACTGCTTTTAAATTATGTAAATTGGAAATTTGCCAATAACTTTATTGTTAATAAATGCATTGGAAATTTGCCAACAATTTTAGTATAATAAACTTCATTGGAAATTTGCCAATATAAAATTTTGCTGATGAAGGTTTTTTGTTTACCTTTAGCCTTGACTATGAAGTCATTTTCTATTTTTATAGCCTTATGATGTAGTTGAATTATTTAATACTTTTATGATGTGTTTAAATGGGGTTTTATCATGTTTATGGTTGCAAATTTATTGTTTTAGTTTAATAAACTCCATTTAAAATTTGGTAATAAAAAAAAATTTTTGTTTATTTTTAGCTATGATTATGATGTCATTTTCTATTTTACTTTTATGGTTGCAAAGAAATTTTTATTTTTAGATATTACTGTTAAATGATGCTGATTAAGGTTTTTGCTATGTTTAGCCATGACTATGATGTCATTTTCTATTTTAATATCTGTCATGATGTATTTAAATGGGCTTTTATGGTTACAAAGGAATTTTATTTTTAGATATTACTGTAAAATGTTGCTGATTAAGGATTTTGTTTATTTTTAGCCATGACTATGATGTCATTTTCTATTTTAATACCTTTATTATGTAATTTCCATTTTTAGATATTACTGTTAAATGATGCTGATTGAGGGTTTGAATGCTGGGATTGATTTTGGGGGTAATTGCCTCCAAATTTTAGGAATTAGGGGGCAAAAAACAAGCATTTTTCTAGTTTCATGACAATAACTTGTGTGTAAGTGTATGGATATTTATGAAATTGTACTACAAGGTTCCATATCACAAAGGGAAAGCTGGAATTGAGTTTGGGGGTACTTGCCCAAAACGTTTAGGAATAAGGGGCCAAAAATAAGCATTTTTCTAGTTTCCAGACAATAACTTGTGTTCAAGTGTATGGATCTCTCTGAAATTGTACTGCAAGGTACCATACCACAAAGGGAAGGCTGGGATTGTTTTTGGGGGTAATTGTCTCAAAATGTTAGGAATTAGGGGCCATAAAGGGGCAAAAAAACAAGCATTTTTCTAGTTTCATGACAATAACTTGTGTGTAAGTGTATGGATCTTTATGACATTGTACTGCAAGGTTCCATATCACAAAGGGAAAGCTTGGTTTGAGTTTGGGGGTAATTGCCCTAAACTTTTAGGAATTTGGGGCCAAAAAGGTGCAAAAAACCCAAGCATTTTTCTAGTTTCCAGACAATAATTTGTGTTCAAGTGTATGGATCTCTCTGAAATTGTACTGCAAGGTACCATACCACAAAGGGAAGGCTGGGATTGAGTTTGGGGGTGATGAATCATAAGGGGGTTTCAAAAAATTTGGGGGGGGGGGGGATTTTTTTTTCATTTTTTTTCTTTAAAATTTTCCATTTTAAATTGGTTATTTCTGATTTATATATAAAAGCAAATAATAATGATATGGTTTGAATAGGTAAATTAAAAAAATTTAAGTTCTTAGACTACTTTCATTCTGTGTGAGAAACCTATGCTGTGTCAAATATTTAATTACAATCCAAATTCAGTGCTGTATCAAGCTTGAATGTTGTGTCCATACTTGCCCCAACTGTTCAGGGTTCGACCTCTGCGGTCGTATCAAGCTGCGCCCCAGCGGAGCATTTTATTCTGCTTTATTTGCGTAATTTCTGAAATATTTTAAATGCAGTATAAAAACAACATACATTCGGTAAACCTTGCATTTCTTCCTATTTCTAAAGCTCGTGCAAACAAATTTTATATTTGGCAATAAAGAATTTTGGAGCTTTAGCCAAACAATAACATTGTGTAATGATGATATCATAAAAGAGTACCCAAAAATCAATCTTAGGGTTTCAGAGGCCGTAAAATATTTTCAAATTATATATGGGTGATGCAATTTTTCATGCTATATATAAATAAGAAGATGTGGTATGAGTGCCAATGAGACAACTCTCCATCCAAGTCGCAATGTATAAAAAGTAAACAATTATAGGTCAAAGTACGGCCTTCAACACCGAGCCTTGGCTCACACCGAACAGCAAGCTATAAAGGGCCCCAAAATGACTAGTGTAAAACAATTCAAACAGGATATATAATACATATATAAAATTGTATGGGGATATATAAGCGTACATTCAGTCAACATTGAATTTCAGCCCCTTTTAACCAATTGGGCCCCAAATTCCTAAAACTTATATAAATTTGAGGTGTAAATGCAATTACTTTCACAGCAATATGATACAAGACTACCATACAGCAACATTGAAGACAGCCTTTTTTATTCATTTCAGGCCTAGGGTTATATAAAAAGAAAGTTTAAACTGACTTAAAGGCCTGTGGTTTCTAAGTCAAACACCAACAAAGTTGCAACTGTCATTGCTTCTTTGCCAACTTTGCCCATCTCCATACTTTCAGGAATTTCTTCTTAATCTGGAGTTCAATTCCTAGTACAAAAATTGTATGCATGAAGTTAAGAATTTATTATAAGATAAGATGACATAAGAAATGTCATGGCATCAATTGTATGATTGATGACATTGAAGTTACATGCACATGCAAACTTTTACTTGCAGTTTCTTAAATTTGAACATTTTATCTAATTAAGTCTAAAAACAGTTGTATTAGGAAGAAATAATACAATATTGCCATGTGAAAATTTTCTTGCCATTTGATGGTGGAGAATAGCAACACTGCTGGTTCTACGGAATTTTGACCATAAAAAAGCTAACTGATACCAAGAAATTTTCAAATAAATTAATAAAGGTATCTCCTAAGTTATGTAGGTATCAGATCTACTGAATATAATAATGTAAATGAACGAACTCAACACATATATATCATACTATCTTTTCAGAGCAAACTTGGTAGTTAGCAGAATTGTTTATTCCATGTTTTGCAAACTGACATCCCCCTTACCTAAATTAGTTTAGAGCAGTTATTTAAAAAATGTCCCACATTGGTTTGGCAGAGAAGATTTGTTAAATATAGTTTGCATTTTTAAAGCATGTTTAGTAAAAGCAGGTCCAATTTAGCAAAATTGCATGTGACATCAGGGTAATCAAACAAAAATATTTGATGGAGAAAAGAAAGTGTAAATTTACGTGTATGGTCAAAAAGAAAACTGACAGTAATTTCAGAGATTTTACCTGTCCTTAATCACCTTATAATTACATTGTGAAATCCAAAAGTTGTTAAAAAGATCAACAAGCTTATTTTTATGTTTAGATGGAATTCACCTGTACATGGAGTGAAGAAAGAGCTGTTACAAAAGGACTACAGTGAAGGTGGATTAAAATTGATCAACCTAAGCTCCTTTATCACAACCCTCAAATATACATGGGTTATAAAACATTTTCAATCCGACTATACACCAAGAGTATGTATTTTGGAATTGTTAGATTGTACTAACATTGATTGATGAAATTGTCTTGGCTTTTGTCTCGTCTGTGACGAAATGCGAGACATAGGTATTACTATCCTGCGGCGTCGGTGGCATTGTAAACTATTTGTATAAAGCTTTTTATTTCAGAAGATAGAAGACCTGGATGCTGCATACCTTGTATGCAGATACCTTGTTACAAAGTTACTGTCTGTCATATATATGTCCATTGTCCTTGACCTCATTTTCTTGGTTCAGTGACTGCTTGCAAAAAAAAGATTTTTTTTGGTCATGTGAATTTCTCACTTATTATGAGTATTTAAGGATAGCTATATTTGGTATATGGATTCCTAGCTTGCAACGTCTACATGTCTGTCAGACAGTGTTGACCTGACATCGACCTCACACCATGGATCAGTGATCAAGGTTATAGATACAGATTAGGTCCATTTCTCAGATACTATAAGGAGAAAATGTTACTGTTTTTCCTATAGGGTATATGTCAGTCTTGCAGGTTTCATCTGGCTTTGACCTCATTTATATGGTTCATTGGTCAATGTAAAGTTTTAATGTTTTGGTCTGTTTTTCAAGTACTATAAGCAATAGGTCAACTATATTTGGTGTATGGAATGATTGTATGGTGTACATGTCTGTCAATCAGATAACATCTGACCTTGACCTCATTTTCATGGTTCATTTTTCAATGTTAAGTTTTTGTGTTTTGGTCTGTTTTTCAAAAACTATTAGCAAGAGGTCAGCTATATTTGGTGTATGGAATGATTGTAAGTTGTACATGTCTGTCTGGCAGGTATAATCTGACCTTGACCTCATTTTCATGGTTCATTGGTCAATGTTAAGTTTACCTTTATCTTTAAAGGGGCACTAGCTGTCAAATTCATGTTCACCGATTTGACTCAAATTCTAATATTTGATTTATAACAATGTAAAACATGTATCCAAATTATAAAAAGTCTTAAATAAACAATTTACAGGGCATGGGCTCGAGAATTTGTAGCTTCGTTTCGTGTGTATTTGAGTCTAGACGCTATCTAATTAACTATCGAGTTGACCTCCGAATACCTCCAATGACCATATAAGTGATATAAACATAAATAAAGATATAAATAGATAAAGCGAACTCGTGCAATTGGATTTTTCTAGGTCTGTTAAATTTCATATTATAGATTAAAAATATATGTTAATCATCGTTTTTACCTGTAAAAGAAAGATTTTTTGTGGATCGAAGTAGTCAATTAAATGATTTATCTATGTTTTACTTTCAATGTTGACATTCTTTTCCTTGAAATAACTATACACACACAATTCATGCGTTATCCATCTCTAGCTACTTAAGGGGTTAAATTGAAGTTCACATGAATACGGATTTAATGGGGTCGAATTATTCACTTGCAAGTGAATAATACATTATCAATGTTTCTTAGCTTATTTTGACAAAATTGAACCATACTGGCTGCTAAAAGCGAATTATTATTTCACTTTTTCACTTTCATTAATGATTGAACAAAAAAAATCCTATTTTAGATTTTTTATATATCTCTTAGCTAGTGCCCCTTTAAGACTTTCAACATAGAATCAATGGTCAGTAAAGCAGATGAGACATTACAGCTTGTGCACTCTTGTTGTCTTTGTTTGGGGACATTACAAAATCAATTGAGGGGGGGGGGGGGGGGGGGGGGGGGGAATGCGGTAATTTGATTTATCTGCAAATAAAACGATATATTTTTAACTGCAAATATTTAAAAAAAAAAAGGTTTAACATTGCAGACAGTCAGTCACAGTGCAACATAAAATAAAGTCTCTATTCAGCATTGAAAAACTAATTGCTGTTGAAAATTAAAGAGAAGATACTTTTAACAATAGTTGGAATGCTTTTGCCATACTTTTCAGTGATTGATCAGTTGTTTTTATACGACAGCAAAAAAATTTTTGTGGTCGTATATTGGTATGACGTTGGCGTCGTCGTCCGGCGTCGTCATCCGAAGACACATTAGTTTTCGCACTCTAACTTAAGTTTAAGTGAATGGATCTCAATGAAATTTTACCATAAGGTTCAATACCACGAAAGGAAGGTGGGGATTGATTTTGGGGGTTATGGTACCAACAGTTAAGGAATTAGGGGCCAAAAAGGGGCCAAAAATAAGCATTTTTGTAACTTCCAGACATAACTTGTGTGTAAGTGTATGGATCTCTCTGACATTGTACCACAAGGTTCCATATCACAAAGGGAAGGCTGTAATTGATTTTAGGGGTAATTGCCTCAAAATTTTAGGAATTAGGGGCAAAAAAGGGGCAAAAAACAAGCATTTTTCTAGTTTCATCACAATAACTTGTGTGTGTTTGGATATTTCTGAAATTGTACTACAAGGTTCCATATCACAAAGGGAAAGCTGGAATTGAGTTTGGGGGTAATTGCCCGAAACGTTTAGGAATTGGGGGCCAAAAAGGGGCCAAAAATAAGCATTTTTCTAGTTTCCAGACAATAACTTGTGTTCAAGTGTATGGATCTCTCTGAAATTGTACTGCAAGGTACCATACCACAAAGGGAAGGCTGGGATTGAGTTTGGGGGTGATGAATCATAAGGGGGTCCAAAAAATTTGGGGGGGGAATTTTTTTTTTTCTTTTTTTTTCTTTTTTTCCTTTTTTTTTTCTTTTAAAATTTTCCATTTTAAGTTGGTTATTTCTGATTATTACATTGGTAGCTTTGAATTACATTGATTTCCCAGTCAAATAAAAACCGATAATTTCACATGTGAAATAAACGTGGTTATTTCACTCTCTGACGTCATACAATAATAGGCGTTGTCAAGACGTCGATAACGTCGGATCAAAACAAATTGTGAATGCGTAGAAAAAAGATATAGTTCCTTACATTTTCTACATTAATTTCATTAAAAAAAGCAATTTGCCAATGTAATAAAAAGAATAACTAATCAAAGAATTCAAATATCGAAAAATATTCAACTCGTGACCGAACAACACTGATAATTAACTCATGCGCTACGCGCATTCGTGAATTAATGTGTTGTTCGGTCACTCGTTGAATATTTTTCTCTATTTGAATTCTTCGATTAGTTATTCTATAATTAATATTTAAAAGCAAATAATAATGATATGGTAGGAGATACACACCAAACAGGATGTGTAAATTATTATATAATAAGTATTGTGCAATAGCAAGAAATTTTCAATTGCACAGTATTGCACAATTGCAAGAAATCTTCAATTGCACAGTATTGCGCAATAGCAAGAAATCTTCAATTGCACAGTATTGCGCAATAGCAAGAAATATCCAATAGCACAATATTGCGCAATAGCAAGAAATTGTCAATTGTACAGTATTGCACAATAGCAAGAAATATTCAATTGCACAGTATTGTGCAAAAGAAGATACTTCGTATAAATTGCTTATTTCTTGATCAATTTCAATGGGGTTTTATTCTTGAATTCTTGGGGTTCTTTAATATGCTGAATCTAACCGTGTATTAAGTTTTTGGATTTTGGGCCCCGTTTTTAAATAGGTCCACATTGAGGTCCAAAGGGTCCAAAATTTAACTTTGTTTGATTTCATCAAAAATTGAATTATTGGGGTTCTTTGATATGCCGAATCTAACCGTGTATTTAGATTCTTAATTTTTGGTTCCGTTTTCAAATTGGTAAACATTAAGGTCAAAAGGGTCCAAAATTAAACTTAGTTTGATTTTAACAAAAATTGAATTTTTAGGGTACTTTGATATGCTGAATCTAAACATGTATTTAGATTTTTGATTATGGGCCCAGTTTTCAAGTTGGTCCAAATCAGGGTCCAAAATTAAACTTTGTTTGATTTCAACAAAAATTGAATATATGGGGTTCTTTAATATGCTGAATCTAACCATGTATTTAGATTTTTGATTTTTGGGCCCCGTTATCAACTTTGTCCACATTGAGGTCAAAAGGGTCCAAAATTAAACTTTGTTTGATTTCATCAAAAATTGAATTCTTGGGGTTCTTTGATATGCTGAATCTAACCATGTATTTAGATTTTTTATTTGTGGACCCGCTATCAAATTGGTTCATATTGAGGTCAAAAGGGTCCAAAATTAAACTTTGTTTGATTTCATCAAAAATTGAATTATTGGGGTTCTTTGATATGCCAAATCTAACCGTGTATTTAGATTTTTAATTTTGGGTCCCGTTTTTAAATTGGTCTACATTAAGGTCCAAAGGGTCCAAAATTAAACTTAGTTTGATTTTAACAAAAATTGAATTCTTGGGGTTCTTTGATATGCTGAATCTAAACATGTGTTTAGATTTTTGATTATGGGCCCAGTTTTCAAGTTGGTCCAAATCGGGGTCCAAAATTAAACTTTGTTTGATTTCAACAAAAATTGAATATATTGGGTTCTTTGATATGCTGAATCTAAACATGTATTTAGATTTTAGATTTTTGGCCCAGTTTTCAAGTTGGTCCAAATTGGGGTCCAAAATTAAACTTTGTTTGATTTCAACAAAAATTGAATATATGGGGTTCTTTGATATGCTGAATCTTACCATGTATTTAGATTTTTTATTTGTGGGCCCGCTATCAAATTGGTTCATATTGAGGTCAAAAGGTTCCAAAATTAAACTTTGTTTGATTTCATCAAAAATTTAATTATTGGGGTTCTTTGATATGCCAAATCTAACCGTGTATTTAGATTTTTAATTTTGGGTCCCGTTTTTTAAATTGGTCTACATTAAGGTCCAAAGGGTCCAAAATTAAACTTAGTTTGATTTTAACTAAAATTGAATTTTTGGGGTTCTTTGATATGCTGAATCTAAACATGTGTTTAGATTTTTTATTATGGGACCAGTTTTCAAGTTGGTCCAAGTTGGGGTCCAAAATTAAACTTTGATTTCAACAAAAATTGAATATATGGGGTTCTTTGATATGCTGAATCTAAACATGTATTTAGATTTTAGATTTTTGGCCCAGTTTTCAGGTTGGTCCAAATTG